CTCGACAGGTAGGTGTCGAAATTTGTGAATTTTTTTTTTTTTTTTTTCGACACGTAGGTGTCGAAAATTGACCAAAAAATCGACATGTATGTGTCGAAAAATTGCCGGCGATTTCAAAAAAAAAACTTCAAAATCGACTTCGAAGCTCAAAAAAGACATCGATACTTACCTTAATGTGTTCTCCTTTCATATATACTACCATATTATTGTCTTATAACTCAATTTTATACGTTTTGTGAGGTTTTAATTTCTTTAGTTTTGAGATTTTTTAGAAGGGTTTGTTGTGAGATTTTTTAGAAGGGTTTGTTGTGAGGAAGATTTTTTAGAAGGGTTTTTGGGGAGGGAGAAGAAGGAGGTGGAGAAGGAGGGAAATGGTTTTTTTGAGTTTTTGATTATTTGGTATTTAAAAAAGAAAAATAGTATTTGTAATATTTTTTTGGTTTTAATTTCATTAAGGGTATTAAAGTAATTTACAATTAATTATTTATTTTTTATTTTTTTGGTATTCAAGTAAGCAAAAGTTGGGATTTGAAATAGTGATCCCCATTACTAAATTCACCTTTTCTAGTCAGTCGGAATCTGGCCAACAATATTTTCCGATAAAATAAAATGGTTACAACTTCTACTCTTTAAACTTTTTTTATGAATATTTATTTATTTTCATTTTTTAATCAATACATCTCTAAAAATTAATCTGGGAAGAAGCCCCAAATTCTCAAAATGTTATTAGAGTAATTTGGAGTAAGTTGATTAATTTTTTATTTTATTTTATTTGCTTGAATTGTAGTAGGTTGATTAATTCGGCCAGCCTCACTACACTGTTTCGATGGTGGCGCGGGACTCTCTCGATTCTTGCATTTGGTGGACGGCGAAGCTCTTTCATGGCTTCCTTTCGGCGGAAGAATGTGAGGCACATGCGGCTTTAGTTCATGTGTTGCATCGGAGGGGATGAAACTCAATTGTGCTAGAGGGAGATTGCTTAGCCGTCTTCAATGCTCTTCAATCTGGTGCAAGTTTTGGTTCGTCAATCGATGCTTATGTCGAGGAGTGTCTCCCGTTAGCTCCATCCTTTACTTCGTGCATTTTTCGTTTGTAAAACGGTATGGAAACAAGTTGGCACATTGTCTTGCCGCTAAGTTTCCCTTCCCTTGTAACGACGGGGATTCTCTTCCATCTGGTTTGGCTCATTATGTCTAAATGAAATTACATTTTCCTCAAAAAAAAAATTAATGTATTCCAATAAGCATTTATTTATGTCGTAAATTTAACTATTAAGTGATTTTTTTTAAGGATTGCAAAGTAATTTACAATCTTTAATATCCAGATAGTAATTAAAATGATGGAGATTTTATGCATAAGTCTATGACAATGAGAGTTATTAGCATAGACCCCTTTGTGTAATCTTTAATATGCACTTGTAGAATTTCTATTAATGATTTGCAATTAACCAAGAAGTAACATCACACAATGTGAAAAATAACGGCTTTCATTTGGTATTATATAATTTTAATTTTCTTTTTCTCGTTTTCTTTTTTATAAAGGTATGGAAATCTTACAACATGGTTACACAAAAATTATCAAGTCACACGATGTGCAAAATAGATACGACCTTATGCATTAAATTCAAGAACAAATATCATTCCATTTAATTGAAAAGTACAAATATGCGGAAAACAGATCGAAACATATTTGAGTTGACTAGCAAGGTTTTTCACAAACACAATGTCGGGGTATTGGTAGTCCTATGTAACAATAGCCATATGTGTAGCCTAACGAGATGCACTTTGCCTTGCAATTCTCATCGTTCGTGCAAGAGTTCGTTGGAAGTTGAATTGAGCTACCACAACTTGGTTGGCCCATTACTTCCCCTGCAAAATACCAAATATAAAAAATAATGTCACGAAATTTATTAAAAACGAAAAAAAAAAAAAAGGATTTTGGGATATTTGAAATTAGTGTGTTCCAACGAAGAGAAAAATAACTTACTAGCTGCGGAAACAAATATCAAAAAGAAAATAAAGGTGAAAATCTTTCTAGCCTCCATTATAAAATACAAATGATGAGAATCGTTACCAAAGGCTTCTTAATTTATAGGTTCATAACAACATGATTTTTTTACTCTATAATTAATATGAAATCCTAATATTTATTTTGATAAGATTTTTTTCTTAATTGATTAGAACCAAAAGTCATAGGAATCAGATCTCTTTATTTAATTTAGGCTAATAATAATAATAATAATAATAATAATAATAATAATAATAATAATAATAATAATAATAATAATAATAATAATAATAATAATAATAATAATAATAATAATAATAATAATAATTGATCATCTTAATGGGTTTAATATGCGGGGGCCCAAATTATCAAAAAAAATATGCGGAGCCCAAATATGAAACTGCAATTACATTTAATCTTTTCAATTTTTTGATTCGGGTATGCTATTGCCACGTGTTCCCAGAATTTAATATTAATTAGTTTTGCAATTTTAATTAAAATCTAACTTGAAAAACGTGTTTGTTTACTTTTTTTTCTTTTTTTTCTCTAAACTAGATTCAAATTGAATTAAAACTAAGAGAATCCACCAACAACCAACCATAAATTCAAATTTTCAATTTACTATTATTATTAAAAAATAATTGTGTGTTAAATCAGAATTTTGTATTTTCATCCCTGTGATTTAATCGGATTCAACCTTATGCTAGCCGAATATAGAATTTTTTTTTTCTTCTCTCGAATCTCAGACAATTAAATTTAGCCCTAATTTAGTTTATATTTTTTTATATAGAATAAATATGCAAACCTTATTAATTATTAATTATTTTTGTCAGTAAATTAAAATTCATGATTGTTCTAATAGTGTGGGGACCACTATTCCCCCAAATCCCCTCACGCGCCGACTATACTGCCGTCCGGCGTCTGCAGAATTTTTCTTCTGTCATTTCGACGCAATCAATCAGTCAATTACTAATATATTATTTTCAATTTTGTTAACAGATTTGATAATAAATAAATAAACGATAAACTGAAAACAAAAATTAATATTATTATTAATTATTCAGGGATAAATAAGAACCCAATTACAGAGGTGTTACACTAAGTCACTAAATAGTCGCCGTCGGACAGAAACCGACGGTGTAGTCGGCGCCGGAGCACGTGAATGTGCTCGTCTTGTCGTCGTAGGCGTACGTGTACGCCGTCGGGCAGAGCTTCTTGAAACGGCGGGAGTACGGCGTCGGCCCACAAGTCGCCGGCGTCGCGTGATCGCCGCTGCAACAAAACTCCGGCGTGCCAAACCGCAGGCACGCGCTCTTGCACGCGACCACGGCTCCGGCGGCGCCGATAACTTGCAGCTCCGGCGGACAGTCGCCGAGTACGTCCGCTCCGCAGGCAGTGACGCGGCAGTCGCCGGAGCCACCGGAAGGCCGGACCCCGACTCCGACGTTGAAGCCGTCGACGAGGCTGACGTCGTAAAAGTCCTGGCCGCCGCCGCCGACGGTGAACTCCGCCAGGCTGACCGGAGGCTCGCCGCCGTTCGCACACCTCAGCCTTCCACCGCAGTCGCCGGTGGTGCAGCGGCCGTTGCCGGCATTGTCGAAGACGCAGCCGGTGCGAGCCCAGAATCGGCCCGACCAGCCCGGCGGTGCTGGGAATGCCGCAGTAGAACCCGGCGGCAGCACGAAGCCACCGTCGGCAACTACGGCGCCGGTGCCGGAGTTGCTTGCCGGCCAAATTGTAAAGTTACAGTGGTTAGTGAATGTGAATATGGTGGTGCACGTGCCTGCTGATAAAAGCCAGGCTAAAGAAAAGAGAAGAAAAGAAATTGGTACAGTCATGGTTAATTTCATATCGAAGAAGAAGAAGTGGTGATAAATATTTTGAAGAAGAAGCCGAATTTATAGAATAAGCGGAATCCAATCATTATATGACACGTGGAAAAGCAAAATGAATTAAATCTCTATTAGCAAAATTCAAATAGTAAACGAGAATAAAAAAAATAAAAAATAAAAATAAATATATATATTTAGTGGGTCAATGTAGTATGCTTTGGGCCCTTAGGCTATGAAATAAATATTTTTAGTTTTTACTATGTAGTATGCTTTGGGCCCTTTGGCTATGAAATAAATATTTTTAGTTTTACTGTATATTTATCTTGGGTCTCTTTTTCCTATTTTTGTTTTTAATTTTATTATTATTATTCATGATTAATTTCATATCGAAGAAGAAGAAGTGGTGATTAATCTTTTATGTTATTTGCAAAAAAAAATTCATCTCAATTGTTTTGTTTAACTATTTGCTAGTACAATAATATAGTTGTATTCTGGTTTACTTTTCCATATTTTTTATTTTATTTATTACATAATTACTATAAAATTACCCTTAGTTAATAAACAAGTATAGTATTATAGGCACATACATAAAAATAAAATAAATTAATATAACAGAGAATAATTATCAGCAAAAGACCCACCCGGTGTTTATCACCGGATGTAGGGTCGAAAGAGCCTAGTAATAATAATAATAATAATATTATTATTATTATTATTATTATTATTATTATTATTATTATTATTATTATTATAGCGAGTCCAGGGGCCGAACCGGATTTTTAATTTGCAAAGATGGTCCAGGCCGAACCGAATACTTAACTTTTTAATTTGAAAAATGCTATATATGAGGATCGAACTCCAGTTGTTCAAAAAACAAATTGTATTGCCATCCACTCAGACATATCAAATCTTGGGAGAGTGACTAGTAAGAACTTTATCTATTTACCTACATGTGTAAAATAATTGTAATAAATAATGTTTTTTTTTTTTTTAGAGAGAAAGTAATAAATAATGTTAAATAGATTATTAATTAGCATATAATAAACGGTCCATTTGATACACCCCTCATATGAAAGTATATAGGGATAAGTCCACCCCTAAAAGTTTTCATTTGAGATACCCTTAGAGAGGCAAAAGTACTACGTGCCTTTATGTGTAATTTTCGCCCAACTGTATTCAGTAATTTCGCCAACTACATTCAGCACTATAAGCTAACTGCATTTAGCATTTCTGAACATGCGTTTCAATTTAGAATAATTCGCAATATTAAAAATTAAGTTTTGTTCTGAATAATTAAAATAAATTTTAAGAAATAACTTTGGTCGGGGTTATTGCAAGAATCCCCCATGTGTAATCTCTAATTGCTGAAGAAATTCTTGTGGTAAAAATATTAGCAAAAACCCCCCTATTAAAAATTAGTCAAAGCCAATAAGGCCCTTACGATCTAAATGTGTGTTGCATGCCCGGATTTCGCGATTTGGGGTATGTTTTTTGACCTGAAAAGACAAAAATAACATTTAAAACATAAATTTAGAAAATTATAAATTCACCCCATAATTTTTGTAAGCCCGAAAATAAAGTTTCATCATTTTCTTATATTTTAATGTAAAAAAAAATATTTTGTTTATTTAAATTGAAATATTTTTAAAAATTATTAGGAGTAATTTTGTCGTTTCATTTAAATCAAAAACTAATTTTAGTGTTAGGACCTAAGTGCTTTGTAAAACGTAACATCGGATGTTGTTGCTAATTTTTTAAACATAGGATTTTTTTTCAATAATTAAAGATTACACAGAGGGGTTTGTGCTAATAACTTTTTGTCATGGACTTGTGACCCCATCATTTTAATTATTATTTGGATATTAAAAGTTATAAATTACTTTGCAACCCTTAAAAAAATCACTTAGCAGTTAAATTACGACATAAATAAATCTTTATTAGAATACATTATTAAAATAATTTGAATGTCAATGACAACCACTATATATACATGTTTTCTTTTCTTTTTTTTTTTTTTTGAAAAAATCAGCATTTGGGTAAACTAATTATTGAATTTCTGTGAATTAATTACTATTTGTAGGACTGTTATTCGTCTCAAGCAAAATTGAAATAGACATAAATCACTCTCAAAATAATTTATGCTTGCTTCTTTTATAATGTTAATTTCCCAACCTGTCACAAGTCATTCTAATTAATCAGCATTAATATTTATTTGCCATTTTCAAAGGTTTTTATTGTGAAGTTGTAGAGATTAAGATATTGAGATTTTGGCTATTATTCCAAAGCAGCACCTATAACACACATTTGACATGGATTTATTGCTTTGCAGATGTAAATATGACCACTTTTATGGCTAAATTTTAATTTGGGCTATCATTTTTCAAACAATGTGCTAACAAAAAGGAGAATATCAAAACTGCTCACTTTTATTAAATATTGCCCCGGAATAATTTTATCTTTCATCACAAGTTTTGTCCTAAAATGTCTTTTTTTTTAATGGACTGATTTTATTGGATCACAGTGTTGATGATAAAATCCTTCACAATCAATTACTAACCTAAATTAAATCATAATATTAGCAGGATCAAAAATACCTTTATATGGCATTTTTTAATTAAAATAATATATATAATAATCTTATCATACTTCAAGTAAAATAAAAATAAAAATCAAGTTAATCAAAATTATTCTAATAATATATTGCACTTAATATTTTGATAATTCGGGCTTCTTCCAAAATTATTTTTCAGACAGGTATTGATTAAAAAATGAAAATCAGTAATTATTCATAAAAAAATTTAAAGAGTAGATGTTGTAACCATTTTATTTTATCTACAAATCTTGTAGGCCATATTCTGGCCACCCAGAAAAGGTGAATTTACTAATATATCTAGGGGTGAGCAAAAAACTGAAAAATCAAAAACTCAAATTGAAAAACCGAAAAATCGAGCCGTTTCAAACCGTACCAAATAGTAAACTGTATGTACGGTTTTTTATTTTTGAAATACCAAATTATTCGGTTCGGTATAGTGGAAAGGGTAAATAACCGAACTGAAAAACCGAATCGAACCGAATATATAAAATGACTTCATTTTATGTAATATATGTATTATTTTACCCTAATTTTTACTTTTTATCTTTCAATTACTTGTCTCATTCTAAGTATTTGTTCATAAATTGAGAAGTTGTATTTTATTTATTTAGTAACTAAAATTTTACTTTTACTTGAGTTCGTGGTTTTAATAATGTGGTTGCTGAAAGTAGAGAAAAAAAAAATGAAGCATAGTCATCTAAATTACGTTAAGTCCTATGGGGATTAAATATTTTATATTTTCATTGTTTAGTTAGTTGTGAAAGTAATTGCAATTGGATTTTTTTGTTTGTATAACTTCAATATATAGTTACTCTTGAATCGAAAAATAACCGAAACCAAACCGGAAAAAATCAAAACCGAACCGAAACCCCAAAAGGAAAAGAAAGAAGAGAAATGTGTACAGTCATGGCTAATTTCAGAACGAAGAAGAAGAAGTGATAAATATTTTGAAGAGTTTGAGCCGATTTTATAGAATAAACGGATTCCAGTCACCTTATGACATGTGGAAAAGCAAAATGAATTCCCTATTAATTAAAGAAAATTATTTGGGTAATAAGTAGCAAAATTAAAATAGTAAAGGAGAATAAAAAAAAAAAAAAATATATATATATATATATATATATTTAGTGGGTCAATATAGTATGCTTTGGGCCAATGTTTTGAAAACCGGACCGGACCGGCCGGTCGAACCGGTTTAACCGGGAACCGGCGAGGGGTCCGGTCTGGTTCAACACATAAACCCGTAAGATGCAAAAACCCGGTTGAACAGCAAAAACCCGGTGAAATCCACGGTTGAACCGGGAAAACCCGGAACCGGCCAAAACCGGGTTTTTGTAAATAAAAGGAAGGAGAGGCTGATTTTTACGGTGTGGTCAGGGAGAAGAACAGAAAACTAGAAAAATGTGGGCAAGAGTTTTCGGATCTACTGAATCTGAGGATTGAGAGAAAATTTTGTATGCCAATCAATTAAAAGAAGAAAATATAAGAAGAATAAACAAAAGAAATGAGAGTAAGGGGGCTTGAGTAGGACTTTGGTAATACTGAGTAAGAACAAAGAATTGTTGGCGGCTGTATGTGGGTAGAGTTGGGATGGGAAGTATGAGAAAGAAAGAGAGAGGAGAGAGAGATAGAGAGAGAAGTAGGGTTAAGTGGTGGAGGAAAATGAAACGTAAAATAATGAAAAGGTATTAGTGAAAGTAAAATTAAAATAATATATATATTACTTTTGTAAATTTCTAAATTATGACTCTGTATATATGATATTAGGTACATTGATTTAAATTTTATGTTTAAAATTTATTTGTTAAACTTTTAGGTTGATTATCAAAGGATTGTATTTTCAATGGCTTAATTCCACTTTGCACCCTTGAAATATACCATTTTGGCACTTTGCACCCTCGAAACAAATTAATAGCACTTTGCACCCTCGAAATACAATAAATCAGGCATAATGCACCCCAAATGAATTTTTAAAGCTAAAAAATGTAATTTAATATTTTTAGTGATATTTTTTTTAGGATGTCAAATGTCAAATATTTTTTTTATTCATCAATCATTTTGAAACTATAAAGTTCAAAAATAAAAAAAAATTTTATCTATAGATTAATTTTTTATTTATTTAT